ACCCGGCTGAGGTATAGAGGGGCTGGTGGGTTACAGAGCCTGTGGGCAGCACTAGGGCTTCACAATGTGGCTGTTATCTGGCTGTGATGCCTGATCAGCCTAACCCAAGCCGGAGATGGCTGAGGCAGGGTGCCCAGCACAGGCTTGCAAGGGACAGGGGTCTGTGAAGGAGCACAGCTCTGGAGGTGGTCACTGAACTCCAGCTGCTGGCTCAGGCTCTTGCAGGGGGAGGTCTCAGCCCTGTCCCTTGCCAGACTGGGCACTCAATGCTCCTGGTGCTGCCCTGGGGCAGATCCAGAGCTCAGATCCCTTCTCTGGGAATAATAGAGCTGATGCTGCGTGACAGGCACTGGTCTGACCCCAGTGCACTTGGGGGGCTGCAGCACCAGGCAGATCACTCTAACCTGCCTTGCTTGGGAGCTGCTGGAACGCTGCCAGTCAGTACAATCTGACCCTATGGTCCTGCAGCTGATCTGAGGGGCCTCGCTGACACCAAGCAAGCAGTTTCTGATGTGAAAGGCCAACACAGCTTCAGGCCTTGGGCTGGGGCTGCTGCAAGGGACAGTTCCTAAAACCATCTCTGCTCTATCAGTGCTGCAAAATCCGCCAGGAGCTGTGGCTGCAGGAGGCTGGAGCTTTTCCAGTGCTTTCACCTCGAGGTCAGTGGTTCAAATTCAGCCTGGGGGGAGGGAGCACCATAAGTGGATGTTACTCCTGATAGATATGCAAGGGAGGAGGATTTAGGAGAAATTGGTCTGGGCCATTTTCAGGAACAGACACCCCTCTTGTTAGAGCTAATTAGGGGCCTCGATTCAGTTGGCAAGGGGGTTGGACAAACCACAAGGCTGCTGAGGCCGGGGAGCTGCTCCGCACTGGGCTGTGGGTATCTCCTTGCTCCCTGTGGGAGACTAACCCTTTATAAAGGCAGAACTTCTGGGCTTTCCAAATCCCTTGCACCTCCCAGCAGATGTTGAGTTGAACCTTGTGCTCCACTCCTGCTTCTCCTGATGCTTCATTCCCCAAAGTGTTTCTCTGGGTGGGGGGCACCCTGATATCCCATCCCACTGATGAGCAGTGCTGTGGTTCCCCATGCTTCCAGCCTGGCTCTGTTAGCCACTGCTTCATTTGCCAGCAGGATTTCCACAGGGAATCATTTCATAGGGCACCTTACCAGATTTGGGCTCCAATCTAATTGCATACCAAAATCTGGAAATCTAACAAATACCAACAGCAAAAAAAAAGGGTTACAAATATCTCCCTCATGACTCTCCAGTAGCTGCAGACTTGAGGAAACAGCTTCTCTCCTTCCAAACAGGCTGCTCTGCCTTGTAACTCCTCTGGAGCCAGAAGCCTCTCTCCTGCCCTGCAGAACAGCTCAGTGCTTGCAGGGGTGCAGCTGACACAGGACCTCCAAAGCTGCTCAGGGATGGTTTGGTTCTCACTCTTGGCTGAGAAACCCTTTCTCTTTGTGTTCAAGAGGTCATGATGCACAAGTGGGAGAGGGATACAGGCCGACAGTCTGAGAACCAGCCCTGCTGGCACCAGGATCCTTGGAAAAACTCAGCAAAGCCCTGGCTCATAGAGATGGAGAGCGACAGTGACAGCCACTGTCCTGCTGCCCATAGAGCTTTGCTGTTGTGGACAGAGCTGGCGAGGGTAGGGGCCGGATGCCATCCAGCAGTGCTCAGTGCCCTGGGACCACCAAACAGCTGCACAGCATTTAGCCCAGGCTTGACATCAGTTCCTGCTCACAGCTGCCAGGGGCTTGGCAAAACTCTGCTGTCACTCATCTTCTCCTCCCTTCCACCTGCCTGTCACTGGACGGGTCATAAACTGGCATCCTTCCTTCTCCATGAAATGAGCACATGCCAGTTTTTTACTGGGTGAAGGAGGCTTCCACACCTGTTTGGGTCCATCTCCTTCTGGTCCTTCCCATAGGACAGAATCCCCCAGCCCCTGTTGCCTGTGGCAGTAGTAGGAATCAGAATCTCCTCTGCCACATCCCACTCCTGCTCTCGCCTTTCTCATTTTTCAGCACAGCTTTGCTTGAAACAGTGGCGCAGCCTGCAAGCCAGGAATGGTGGTGGAGCAAGGCCTCCTTCCCAATTCATCACTAATGCAGGAACGTCAAGCCCTTTCTGGCTGCAGTGAGCACCAGATAAAAGCTAAAAGAGGCATCAATAATTAAGAACCACTCAGAGCTGGTAAGTGCAAACAGGAGCCAACATACAGATCGAAGCCAGTGCCAGAGATCAGAGTCTGTCAGCTGCTGGGTTGCTCTGAGGGCTCCCACTTCTCTTTTGCAGGCATCCCCCAGTCCATAGCCCCCGGGGTGACAAGGTGTCCCTGGCACCAGGGAGGGCACAAGGGACTGCAGGGAAGAGTGATGCACAGGAGGGGCCCTGCCTGGGCACGGTAGGAGGGAGCTGGGCTCCTGCCTGTCCCCAGGGGCTCTGGGGACATGTGGCTTTGGAGAGTGAATGCCAGTACTGGGGGCTCGGGGATGGGCACCTGCGGGCTGGTCCTGGGAGCATGGATCAGGGCACTGAAGAACCTTGATTTCTAGTACAGCTTAGGCTTAGCTCTCACCACCTTGATGCCAGGTCCTGTCCTCAGTTTCCCTTCTCATCTCATTTTCATTCTAGGATGGACTCCAGCCAGGATGAGGCCCCTCTTTGTGCCAGATACTGGTATACATGGCCTGGGAAATTCATGTTGTCTGAGGGTTCCACGAACTTGTCCCTGCTGAGTTCAAGGCTCCTCATTCAAGTATGCAAGTGAGGAGCTGAAAACAGGATGGTTTGGAAATGATGGGTGGCTGCAGGGGAGCCTGGGCCACCCTCAGCATCTCTGAGAAACACACTGGGTTCTGCCCTTGACCATCCACTCTAGAGATGTGGTGGGAGCAGGAGGCTGTGCCTGGGGAGAGGAATGGCTCAACCCACAGCACAGAGTTGGGACAGAGCTGGGGCTGCCCTTCCTGTCAAGGACAGGAGGCTGTGTGTTCCCCTGCCCCAGGCTGGCATTTGGGGAGGAAGCTGAAAGGTAAAATCATTAGGGTAATTCCAGCAGCAGCAACCTGCTTTGCTTGGATCCAGATTCAAATGGAGCTACTGGGTGTCCAAAGCCCAGGTTGGTTTGATTTCTCTGCTGGTTATAAACAGAAGGGCTGTTTACACCACTTGCCTCTTGATCCTGGCCTGGATTTCAAACACCTTCATCCTTTGGGGCTATTCCAGGCATTGCTGCTACCAGGCACGAGCGTGTGGCTGCTGCAGGAGGGGGCCGGGCCTCAGCTCAACGTCCTCAGTGGTGGTGGGTCAGCAGTGCTGGGTCTGGGCCGTGTCTGCTGCCCTGCACCTTGTCCCTGTGCCAGGGGGAGCAGCGGGACCAGCTCCCCTTGCTGCTGCTCCTGGAGGCCTGAGGATGCCAAGGGTTAACTGCTGTTGATTTCTCCCCAGTCCAAGCACTGGGAGCTGAAGCGAATTAATCTCTGGGTTACAGGCTGTGCTGCTCCAGGGCCCATGTCAATCAGAAATGGAGGGCGAGCAAGATGTGTGTGACATCCATCACTCCAGAGCTGCCTGTTCCAAGTTTACCTGTGTCACTCTCTGAGACAGAAGAGCAGAGAAACTGCCTAGGGAAAACTGGCAATTTTTGGTGAGGAGTTTTGAAAAACGTGCAAAGCATCTTCTCAGTCTCTCCTTCCCTTGAAACACAATCTGAAGTGTTTCCAGCTTTTGTAAAACACTTTCCTTAAATAAAACCCCCACAATCTCCCAATAAGGCAACAAACAAAAAAAACCTCTAAAACTTTACATTTGAATTCAAATATGTATATTCATATGTGCAGATATATGATGCACACACACAGACATATACGTGGGAGGGTTTTAGGGGGCTTTGGAGCTAGTGGTGGGCTGGTGTCCATCCCTGCCTGTGTCACTGGACCTACCCAGTGAACGTCTGTGGCCAGGGAAGGTAAACGGGCAAGTGCTGGGGCTGACAAAGTCTGGGGCCAACCTGGCAGGGGAAACGGGATGACATGGAGGCAAGAGGAAGGAGAGCCTCCTGTGCCCACCACCTTGCCCCTGTCCCTGCCGCCAGCATGCAGCAAGTAAATAACAAAACGAATAAAAGATTAAGATGAAATTCGAAGCATTAAATATTTAACCTTGTGCTCGGCTGTGCAGTGCCCAGGTACAGCTGGGTCCTGCAATATTTAAGGGTTCTTCACTCGCTTTTACCGCCCTCGAGTGCGAGGACTGCACAGCAGCTGCAGCTGGAGGGTCGCGCGGGACACGGAAGGGACCCTCGGCGAGTTCCCCTCCGGGAGCTCCCGGAACTCTGCGGGGCAGAGCGGAGCGGGGCAGCCCCGGGGCAGCCGAGCCCCGCGGCTGCGGCAGCTCCGGTCCCGCCCGAGCCACGGCCCCACCGCCCCACGTTACTTTGAGTGGCAGCTGGCGGCAGCCGCAAGGCCTCGTGGGCCGCGCAGTCCACCCTCCCGGGCCGCCCGCGGCGGAAGCCCCGCCCGCCCGTGACGCTGGGCCGGACCCCGCGGTAGCGCCGGGCCGGGCCCCCCCCCGGGCCCGCGGCGGCGGCGGGACGGACCGGGCGGGCCTCGCGCGCTGCCGCCGCGCAGGAGCCGCCGATGGCGAACTACAACTCCCAGCGTGCCCCACAGCTCGTCCCTCGGGGCTCCAGCTGCGCGCTCACGTTTTATTGGCCATCCTGGGATGTGCCGTCACGAGCCCATGTGGGAACAGGGCAGGGCGATTGGCTGGCGCTCCCGCAGCGGCAGCCAATGGCAGGCGCGGCCGCCGGCGCGCGGGCCGTGGGGCTGGTTAAGGTGGAGCGGGCGGGGGGGGCGGGGCTGCTCCGGGCCGTCCCCCCCGGGCAGGCGGTGGGCAGGGCCCGGGAGACCCCCGGCAGCCCCGAGAGACCCCCGGCAGCCCCGAGAGACCCCCGGCAGCCCCGGGGCCCGCTGCCCCTGCGATCACAGGGATGGGGTCTGGAGGGATGGGGCAGGTGATGCTGGTCTGTGAATGGAAACCCTGGATCCCGTTTACAGCTTGAAGTTGGAATGTGAGAAGCTGATGAGTGAGAAGACAGAGATGCAGAGACATTATGTCATGGTGAGCTCCCCCTACCCTGTCCCTGCTGCCTTCCCCCAAAGCATCCTGGACTGCTGCCCTCAGAGAGGTCCCAGTGCTGGGACTCCACTCAGAGGGGTCAATGCCCTGCTGGGGGTGCCTGGCCCGGTGCTGCCCTTGGGGCCAGGGCTGGGAGGTGTGAGGGAGGAAGGAATTAGTCACTGTTCCTCACAACACCATCTCTTCTACTGCTATCTGCGTATTCAGTGCTGCTAGAGCCCAGGAATCCTGTCATAGGTTTTGTTTCTTTTATTTTCTTTTTTCCTCCCTTTTTCTAATTGACCTTTTAAGAGAGCTCCCCACTCCTCCCTGTCTCTCTCCCAAGGGGTGGGTGTTTCAGAACTCATATCCTAAGACTGGTGTTTTAGGTGAAAGGGGGAGGAGCAGGAGCCTCCACAGTTGCCAGCCAGAGCCTGGCAGGAACAGGGGAGCTGCTGGGATGAAGGAAAGAAAATGGGGACAGCAGAACAGGAGCAGCATTCCCTCTCCTTTAGCATCTGACACTCTTGGCCCCTCTAGGGAAAGGGGGAACCCAAATTACACCATCCAAGAGGCAAAAAGATGTGAACTCGGGGAACCCCCATCCCTGGGGTGAAGACAGCCCTGTCCATGAGGCCAGGGGTGTCACATCACAGGGCGTGTTCTTCTCATCCATCAGCTGGGATCCCTCCCCACATCCTGGAGGTTTAGGGATTCCCAGAGATGGACTACTTCCTTTGGAATAGGCTTTGCTGGAAGAATGCAGGTCCTCTGGTTCTTTTTTTTCTCCCCAGGTGGGAGGGGATGGGGTCGGCTGTTGGCACCACTGACAGAGTCATTGGTGACTGGTGAAGGGCGTAACCTGCTGTCATCTTTGCTCTGCACAGGCATGACACCCTCATGGGTGGGTGGGCAGCTGCATCAGGGTGTGAGTCTGACTTAGGAGTGGGACAGGCCAGGCCAAGCCAGGATGGGATGTGGAGGGCAGAGGGATTGGCTTCCTCTGGCTTAAATAATTAGTGCAGAAATTGCAGAGCAATCATCACAGGTGTTAGCAGTCTGTGGCTGCTCCCTACCTTGTCCCAGGCTAGTGGCATGTGGTCTTGGCCTGTGGTGTGTGGGACAGCCATTCCTCATGGGCTGGAGGGAGCACCAAAAGGGGAGCTCGGCCAGGGGGAGCAGGACTGGCAGCCAAAGCCCTGGCTGGTCATCGTCCAGTTGCTCTGGGCAGCTCCTAATCAGGCTGTGTTGTGGTTTTCCCTCAGTACTATGAGATGTCCTATGACCTGAACATCTAAATGCACAAGCAGGTAAGTGAGTGGGGTCTGTGCCAGCAGCAGGAGATGGTGGGGAAGAGGCCAAGGTTGGAGACTTCGTTGGAAAATTACCTTCTTCATCCCCGTGTAGCTGTAATGGCACAGGAGACATGACACGGCTCTCTGCAAGGGACTCGCTTCAAAGGAGTCCAGATGTTGTCAGGACATGTGCTGTTGAGTTCCTTGGGACAGGGACTTACCATCCCAAATCACCACTCAGAGCCTCCATGTGAGCCCTGGTGCCTTCCTGCAGAAGGTCCCTGGAGCCTGAGTTGAGGGAAGGATGTGGAGGAAACAGCAGAAGCTGGAGCCCAAGGGCAAACGGATTGTCTTTCTTTTTTCCTGATCTCCTTTTCCCTAAGTCAGAGGAGTGGTTTTACCCTTCCTTGGTTCCCCTTTTGTTCCAGTGTTAATTTGTTTTCCCTCTTCAGATTTATCAATCTAGTCATCATGGGCTCTCTGCCAGGGAAATTAGTTTGGACCAATGCCTGACAAAGTGGCAAGTCAACTGCCATATTCCTCCAGCTGGCTCAGCCCCTCTTGAGTTTGCTCCTTTTGGTAGCAGGGAATATGGTAGAGACCATGAGCATATTCCTGCCATCCCCACATGCTTCAAGATCTGGTGGGACTGGGACCCACGGATGGGACTGGGAGCCAGGGGTGGCCCATGCCACATGGGGCCAGTGGCTCTGCCCACAAGGCAATAGAAGTGAGGGCCAAGCGGCTGAGAAGCAGGAGCCCTGACCCACCTGGGTCCAGCTCCTGGCTCTACCTGGGCAGGAGAGGTCTGGAGGGGAGGCATCTTTGACTCCCAGGGTCCTGAGTGGGCATTGTGGCAGTGGCTGAGACAGCAGCTGGGACCTGCAGGTGAGCAGGGTGCTGATGGGTGCGGGAGTGCTCCCAGAATGCAGCAGGTAAATGTTCCCTTTGTTAGCTCTGAGCATGGTTTGACCTCTGCAACACTGTCAGGGATTATCAGAAACCTGAGATGAAAAAATGCTTCAGAGCAGCCAGTCCCTCTGCCAGTCCCTCCACCAGTGCCAGGGTAGATTTGCAGTGAGGGAATCAAGTTTTCCCCAGGAGACATGGGTTTTCTCTTGGAGAGGCTGGGCTGGAAGCCACAGCCCCTTTGCTCAGAAGTGCTGCTTACCCTGGTGGGAATGTGGCTGGGCTGTGGGTCTGTCTGTAACCACAGGCTCTCCTCAGAGGATACACCAGGTTCTCTGCATTCCCTTGTTGCCGCTGCTGGGCAGGGGCAGGTCTGAGGTGTTCTGTGCCTCTGCTCCCCCTTTGGAAGGAGCAGGGAGAGCTGCCAGCTGGCCCAGGACTTGATGGGGATGGGAGCGGGGTCCCTGCTCTGGGCAGGGCAGGTACCACCATCAGTTCCTTGCAGGGTTTGCAGGCATGATGCCGAGAGGGCTGAATCTGTGGGAGTTCTGCGTCCCTTGCTCTGCCCTGGCTTTAAGTCTGACACTCGGGGACAGCGCAGTGTGTGGGTGGCCCACTGCCAGCGTCTGCGGCTCAGCTCTGCCCCGTCCCTGCCTGTGCCAGTGGCAGCCCCAAAGCCAACCTGGGTTTGGGCTGAGCAAAGCCAGCTGAGCTGTGACAGGAGTGACAGCTTGGAGCTTGCCTTGGCCTGGGTCCACAGAGGTGTTTGGGCGTCGAGATCCCTCTCACGTGCCTCTGGGACCTGGCAGCCTGGAGGGGTCCAGCAGCTTTGGGCACAGTCTTCTCTTGGCAGCAGGAAGACCGAGAAGGGATACAGAGGCAGCAGGAGAATTTCCACTGAGAGGATTTGGGTGGGGAGAGTTTAACTTCGCCTGCATGTCTGCAGGATGCTTGGCTGGCCTCCCCTCTGCTGGAGGGGACGGGATGGGGCTCAGAGCCCTCCATCCCAGGTGATACCTGCTTCCTCTTTCAGGCAGAGATTGTCAAGAGACTGAGTGCCATCTGTGCCCAGATTATCCCCTTTCTGACACAGGAGGTGAGGAGGCAGGGGATGTGCATCGGACTGCTCTGGCTTGTATTGAGGGAAGCCCTTGGGAAAGGGGGAGTCAAAATCCAGCCTGAAAAATGGGAGGTTTTGGGGAGGAAAATCTCCATACCTGGGCTGGAGAGATGGGAGAAGGGACTGTGCAGTCCCAGGTGGCTGGGGCAACACAGGGCTGCTGCTCCCTTGGTCTGGGAGCACAGTGTGACTGCCCCCATGCTCTTCCTTCCCAGCACCAGCAGCAGGTCCTGCAGGCGGTGGAGCGGGCCAAGCAGGTGACCATGGGAGAGCTCAACAGCATCCTTGGGGTGAGTCTCTGCCCAGCTGTGGGCCAAGGCTCTTCCCTGCCCCAGGGGTTTGGACCCTACAGCACAGTAATGGGAGAAGTCAGGGGTTTTGCTACTTTAGTAAGTCCATTGCAGCGAGGGGGTTTGCCACTGTGTCCTTAAAGCAGTGGATGGCCTCTGGGATCCCCTTGGCCCCTGCTGCCCGGGGCAGAGCCATGGCTCGGGCTCTGCCATGTGTTGGGATCACATTTGTGGCAGGGAGGCACTTGAGGTTCCATGGGTGGAAGAAGCAGTGATGCCACCCAGACTGTGCAGCCTCAACAGCTCTGCTCACCTCCTTGTCTTTGCTGGCGTCTCATCCTGTTGCGCTTTGCATCGCAGTCAGTGCGGGAGGGGAGGGTGCCGGGCTTGACTGTGGCTGGCTCTACCACACCCAGGACCATCTGCTCTTTCTCTTTCAGCAGCAGCAGCTTCAGCACCTCTCCCACCACGCATCCTCGCTCCTGCTGACCCCCCACTCCTCCAGCATGCAACCTTCTACCTTGAGCAGGGCCAGTGGCACCTTGGGACTCCTGGCCATCTCAGGGGCACTGTTGGCACAGTCTCAGCTGGCCACCAAGGAAGACAGAGTGGCCCAGGATGGGGAGAACAAAGGTAAGGGGAAGAAGCATAGCTGGATTAACCTTTCAAAGGCTACCTGAGTCAGTGCTGGGCAGCCTGCTGCAGGGATCCTGCTGCCTGCTCTGCCTCTTTTCTCAGTGCTCCTCAGTGCCTGGCTGCTGCAGCTCAAGGGATGGCAGATCCAGCTCATGAAATACATGCAGACCCAGGAGTTTGGCTCCATTTTTGACCTTGGAACTGCTGCCATGCAGTGACGGTGTGTGGCAGTGGTGAGGGTGGCTGTGTTTGCACCCCTGACACTGGGCAGCAGGGCTCTGGACACATCTCCCTGCTCCCCTGGGTGTTTCCAGTGTATGAGAATCCCCCCGTCCATGAGGCAGCTGGGAGAGTGTGAGGTCCCAGTCACAAAGAAACCTTCTCTAATTACACCAGGGTTTACACCAAGTAAAGATTTGATGCCCAAAGCTGAGACTTCAAGGGAAACTACTGTTGCAAGCCCCTGGTAGAAGCTGTGGGAGCCACAAATCTGGGGCAAGGAATTTAGAAACCAGAGCCTAACTGCATGTGTGGTGCCATGTAAGTTGCATTAATTCCTAGTCCTTATGGGTGCCTCCTCCTGTCAGGATCACAATGTGCCTTACAAACATCATCAATATTTAATCATCATGAAATCAGTGCTCTGAATGCTATTGCAGGACTGGGCCAAATTAGTAATGCTGCCCAGCTTTGCTTGTGGCCTATTGCTGCTGAAGTGCTGCACAAAGGAGAAGCTGCTCTGAGCTCAGGTCACCTTTTGCAGAGTGCAGGAATTGGGTAGTTGTGCTGAGAGGGAGACTGGGGCAAGAACAGAGGCTCCAGGCATCTCTATGGGCTAGAAACAGGCAGCCAAATTTAGCAGCTGTAGTGATGCTTCTCTGCAGATTTCCCTGGGAAAGGTGCTGACTGAAATGCACTTGGGACAGGACCCAACAGCAGCAGCAAAACTGGGCACTGGGTGGGGTTTGCTGCAGTTTCCAATGGTCTGTTTGGCTTGTTAAGGTGTCAAGGTGGTGAAAACAGCAGCAGGAAACTGTCGGTGGCTGCTGTGTGCCCCTGCACACAGCTGTCTGCAGTCAGAATTCTGTTCGTGTTTCTTTAAGGATGGCTTCCCAAAGGAAAAAAACAAACTCCAGAGAGAGGATAAAAGCAGGCTGTGCTGTGCTGAGCCTGCTTAACCCTCCAAGCCTAGATAGCCCCATGCCTCCAACCAGAACTTCTCTCAGCCTGGGTGTCTGGCCTTAGTGAGAACCATTCCTTAAAACAAAAAAAGGTGAAATGCTCCATCTGGCTGGGGTTAATCCCCGGTGCTCTGCCATGGTTAGCCAGAGCTTGTGTGAATCGAGCTGAGCCAGAGGTGTGGGACTGATGGCAGGCATCCAGTCCCCCTCCTGGACTGTGGCCTTGGAGCAATGCTTACAAGAGTCCCTCAGCTCCCCATCCCTGCCTGACTCTTTTTGCCAGCAGAGACCTAAACGAGTTTGTTCTTTCCAAATGCTGGTGGATTTCTAGGAGTGAAAATCAACCAGGGAGGGTTGCTAGACCGCAGCTGCAACCCTGTGCTTGGATTTGCAGCAAATGCCTGGCACGTTTTCCCTGGGCTCAGGGAGGTGGACCTGTTTTGCTATGCATGTACAAAAGCTTCGGAGGCTTTCCAAGCAAGGTTTTTAGGCATGGCTTCCTAAGGAAATAGGATGGGTGTGATTCAGGAGGTCTCAGCTGGCTGGTGGGCTTGTCCCCTCCTGGCAGCTTTGGACCTGTTGCCACATCTAGGGAAGAGATTCCAAAGCTGGGGTAATTCTTGAAAGTAGGTGGGTGGATAGAGATTTCCCTGCTTCCCTGAGGAAAACCAATGTGCTCAGCTCCCATTAGACAACAGAGAATCCACACTTCAGGTGGGCAAAGTGGGAAATCAGGTATGATTTGTAAGCCCATGTCCTGCTGTTTCCTGTGTTACCCTGCAGTGCCCCCCTCTCCTCCCTGCCCGAGTATATGGGGCACAGCCTTGGCATTAACAGCCTCTTCCTCTCCTCCCCTCTGCCTTGCTGACATGGATCTGCCCGGATATTCTCCCTGCTGTTGCTTGGCTCCAGAACGTGCCTCAAGCCGGGTAAGTCGTGATGGACTGGTAGCCTCAGCTGGCCTCAATGGTATCTCCAGTGTGGGCCAGGCAGGAGCCGAGCTGGCCCCTGGCTCCTGGGAATGGCTGGGGGTGCTGGGCAAACTCTGCTGGCCTGAATGGGTTGTGTTTGTATCGGTGTTTTGTAGCTGAAGGTTCTGGGCCACCTCAATTCAGTCTTTGCTGATGCAAGAATCTAAAGATCAAGGGCTACTCCCAAAATAACCAGCTCTGTCCTTTTCAAGGAGTTTCCAGTTTAAGAATCACTCTGAACAGGTCTCCCTTCTAAGCCCGGTGCTGCCAGCCCCTCTGCAGTCCTTGGCTGCCCCCTCCCTTTTATGATCTCCCCAGTCCCAGATCTGTGACTCCATTCCCAGGCTCCACAGTAGCTTACAGCTCTGCAATATCCAGAGTTCCAATTCCTGTTACAGGCAGAGGAAGAAAGGGTTAAAGAGCTCCTTCATTGGGGAACAGTTGGCATTGATCTTAGGCTTTCTGTCAGGTGGGATAGGAAGAAGGAGAGAAGGTGTCTGTGTTGTGCAGAGGGGATCCCATACCTACCCAGGTGCCTCTTTCAGAGATTGCTGAGGGAACAGGGAGCATCATTTCTGCTTCCTGATTCTGTGTGTCAAAACTGTTGATCTTACTGTGCTGGAAACAATCGTCTCAGGGGAACCCTGGGATGAGGCACGTTCTCCCCGATTGATTTCCATCATGAACAGCCCTGTGGAGCAGTCCTGGAAAGGTCAGGAGGCCACGCCCCAGCCCAAGCACACTGGCTGCTTGGGAGGAAAGGCAGTCCCTCCAGGCAGCCAGTGCCAGCCAGGTGTTCCCCTGGTCTGCAGAGAGGCACCTTTTGGCTGCATTATCATGTAGGGAAGCAAGGGGATGTGTGATACCACTGCAGCTGCCAGCAGCCTCTGGGGAACGGGTATTCATCCTGCTTGGCCCCATCCCACTTCCCAGCCTGCTGGCTCCCATGCAGCAGGGTTGAGGTGAAGTAAACATGGCTCCAGTGGGGATTTTCCACTCCACCATGACCTTACGCTCCCCATGCCTTCTTGTCTCTGCAGGGGCAGATCTGCCCTCCAGTCATGCCCTCCGCACAGCCCTTGGTGCTGGTGGCTGGGCCAGGGCACAGCTGCACATCCTCATCCTCCCCCATTACTGTCACAGTGGGGTCATCTGCCAGCGGGGGCTGTAGCCCCCTGCTCTGCTGTCTCTGCCCTGCTTTGGCCAGGAAGGGGAGGCCGTGGCTTCGGGGTTTTGGGCTCCTGCCCACCAGCCAGGGAGATGCTTTGCCAGGGTGGAGGCAGTGATGGAGCAGGGCCTGGCCTGACTGAGAGGTGAGGGGTGGCTGTCTTCCCTCACACTGGCTGACATGCCTTCCTCTCCCCCTCTGTGTCAGAGCATTTCTTGTTCCCCCCCTGAGCGCCTGCAGGATGAGGAGCGGATGGGCCTGAAGCGGAAGCAGGAGGAGAAGAACCTGCCTGGGCATTCTGTGAGTGCACTAAAGAGTGTGGTTTCGGGAGCTGGTCCTGGGAAGCGGCTGGGGAGCCTTATGCCTACCCTGGTGCAGAGAGATGGTGTCCTGTGAGCAATAACAAAGCAAATGAAGAGCCCTGGGGAGGCCACTCAGCCAGAGGTCCGGGTTGCTGCCAGCAGGGCATGGTGTTGGTCCATGAGGAGTGATGAGCAGGAGAAAATGAATCTTTACACTGTCTGGGATCCTGGGGTAGAGCCTGGTCCAACCTCTCCCAGTCCTGACTGAGCCCTTCTGGATTTCTCCCTCCTTGCAGGACAGTGATGGGGACAAGAGCGACTACAACCTCGTGGTGGATGAGGTAGGCCCTTATACTTGGAACCTTGCAGGGTATCCAGCTCAAGCTGTAGTCATCAAGTTTAGGACTCTGGATCCTAAGCTTTGGAGTTCCCTGGGCTCCAGGTCATTGCTGCTGGGAGCAGCATCCAGCCAGGACATGTGCCAGCCCTGCTCTGATGTGTTCATGTCAGCCAAGACTGATTCCACTCCCACTGCTCTGAGTAGAAAGCTGTGCCAGCCAGGGCTGAGCTTTGCCAGCCACAAGATTGGCTCTGATTCACAATCCCCTTTCAGTCCCTCTCCTGTAGCATCCCATATGGGGAGACTGATAAGCTGGGATGAGAGCTCCAGGGAGTTGGGTTTGCTGCTGGCAGCTCCAGTGAGTAGAGGTGGCAGGAGCAGGCAGCCTCGCTGTGCTGCCTTCGGCAGGAGCCTCGCAACACACCCTGGCCCTGCCAGCCCCAGGCTTTGCAGTGCACCTCATGCCCTGCCTGGCCTTCCAGCAGCCTCGACTTTAACACACCAAGCCTGTGTCAGTGTCTCAGTGCAGGGAGCACACTGAATTCCAGTCCTTTGCAATGGAACTGCCATGTACTTCTGGTACAACCTTCCCTGGCTGCTGAGGCAGGCATGACAGAAATTTATCCCAGCCACAACTATTCTTGGCAGAGACGATGTTTTCAGGGGCATACCTGCTCGTTTTCTGGAAGACAAGGAGAAGGGACAACATGTGTAAGGTATTTTTTCCTCCTACCACTTCCTAAGAAAATACAAGCCCTAAAAGGAATATCAGCAGGAATTTCTGCAGAAAACAACACTTACAAAAACTACTCGGTGGAATTATGGTGATAAAAATCACAGACCTGGTTAAATAGTTATAGGAGTGCAAGAGCTGATGGGCAGCTTTGCCTCTGAAATGGCAGCTCTGTGTCAGTTCCTCATGTGCTGGTCGCCATCCCTCCTTGTAAAGGCATCCGTGGCCACCAGTGTCTTCTGAACCTGCTGTCACCTCTAATTTTGTTCAAAGAGAAAAATCAAGGCAGTTTCTTTTCCAGGGGACCGTGGAGCAGAACAGAGGCCTGTGAGTGGATGCTCCTCATTCAGGTTGCTTAGGCAGATGGGACAGTGAGGGGTGGGGGGAGCAGACTGGGGCTTGGTGGTCCCTGCAGGCTCCAAGCCCGGCTGGCTCCCCGGAGTCTCTATCGTTCCTGCCTTCCTGCACAGAGGGACTGGGTTTCCTGCTTCCCACAGATGTTTTCTGCCCCCAGGACCCCACCTCGGAGCCCGGCAGCCCTGGCTGCTCACCCAGCAGCCAGCTGGCACCAGTCCACGGGGAGATGCCAAGCCCGGCCTGCACCACCTCCAGCAGGAGCACAACACCCCTCGAGCCAAAGGGCCAGTGTCCGGTAGGGAGGCATGTGGGCAGCCAAGGCTGGGGGTGGAAAGTGGGGCCAGGGGTGTTTGTGAGCAGTCTGCTGCAGCCCAAGGTAGGCACAGAGACACCAGTGCTGAGGGTTTGAACCCATGGCTGGGCCCCCAGCCCTGGGAGCAGAGGTCCATGCCCCCAGAGGGGTGTAAGTGTTGCTGTGCAGAGGGTGGGCTCTGCAGTATTCTCACCCTGGCTGCCCTCAGGATTCCCCAGAGCTTCTCATAGCAATTGATTTTTTTTTTTTTTAATTTTTTTTCCCGTCCTCCTTGCCAAGCACCAGTCCCGTGCTCAGATTGACACATCAGCATGTGGGAAGGGGGAGGGATGTTTCTGCTACTCCTTGGCCTCCCAGCCAATGCAGGGACCAAGCGATGGCATCCCCCCATCCTGGGTCAGGAGCCAGCTGGGGGCTATGGGCAGCAGCGAGCAGCAGCTTCCCGGCACAATCGGATTAGAGCAGACAAAGCGCCCTGAGCAATCTGCCAGCACAGCACGTAGCTTTTCTCTGTTATTAATTTTTTTTTTCCTTGCTGGTGTCGACAAAATCCCCAGACAGAAAAAGCGGAAGAAGTAGGAGAGGCAAGAAAAAAGCAAGGAATGAAATAACCATGGGGCTCAGATGCAGGAACTGGGGCAGGAGAGTGAGGCCTGGCATCCCGCAAGGCAGGGCAGGGGCTGGGCTGTGTGTCCTGGGACCTGTCTGTACCTCAGGCTGGTTGCATGGGGAGCTGATCAAGGCCAGTACCACCTGAATATGTCTTGAATTACTGCTACTGATTTAATGGGACCCATTTTCTGCTGGAGAAACAGCTGTAAATTATCAGTAAATAAATGTATTTAACTGTGTTTTCAATCCTTTACTAATAAAAAGGAACAAAAGAGGGGCTGGTATGGTCATGGGCAGGGGCCTTTGCCAGCCAGTGCTCCCAACCCTGGCAAGAGGGCTGGGCTGTGAAATGTAGCTTCCGGGTCCTGCTTTTGGCCAGAAGCATGGGCAAGGCCATTTCCACTGTGGCAGAGCTGTGGCTGCCCACCTGCCACCAGCCCCAGCTCCAGCACAGCTGCAGCAGCAGCCTTGGCTCTGTGCTGGGTGTGGTGAGCTATGGCTCAAGGCTGGGCTCAGGGCAGGAGACCAAAGCAGCTGCCCCATCGCAGCTGGCGGCACGGAGCTTCCCTGGCAGCCCTGGTCATGGCCACTGCCAGTGCCCAAGGCTCTCGGGAACAGCCCTGCTTCCCCACGGCAGTGCTGGCAGGAGGCCAGACTGATAAGGCAGCACTGATTGCTCACATCTCATTTCCTTCAGAAACCACTTCCTCCACCACTGCATCTCCCCCACACCCCACGGAGGCTGCTCCAACAACCAACAACCGGAGCCACCACCACGCTCAGGTCTGTGCCTGCACTGCCAGCTGCACTTGGGTCTCCCCACCCCACTCAGGACCAGGGCTGGGCCCTGCCAATAGCAGAGCTGCCACAGACCTGCCCTGGCACAGGAAAGGAGCAGCAAATTGTGGTTGCCAAAGGGGATGAGGCTGCTGCCCTGGTCTCACCCATCTTCACCTAGCTCCATCCCACCACCGTGCAGCACTGCCCAGGACAAGGCACAGCTGCCTGTTTTTGGTTTGTTTTTATTATTAAATATACCCTGGCAGGCACAGAGGGAAATGAGGCCAGAGCCCATCCGCCTCAGCAGACTCAGACCCCCAACAAAATAACCCCCCCAACAAACTGTTAAAACCAAACAAAATTAAAAAACCACCCCAAAAAAGCGCTAACAATGCCAGATGGCCCCCCCTCCTCCAAGTCCCATAGTCTAGATTTAGAAAGAAGCTGACAAAGAACAAAGCAAGGAGAAAGTCCCCAGGAAATCCACCCCGAGCAGCCCACGACGCCTGGCCACGGTCCCAGGGCCACCTTCACCCCTCTCCGCTCTCCTCCAGCTGCGATGCTGTGGCCACAGGCTGCATGTTCTTTGGGAAGTCAGCAGTAGGGCAGGTGGAGTCCACCTATCCATCCACACGGACGTCCACCTGTCCCGCAGTTGGCACCTCTTGTGCTCAGTAAATGATCTCATAAACCGTAGCTTTCTTGTCCCCTGAGCCAGTCACAATGAACTGGTCATCCGTGGAGACATCGCAGCTGAGGACAGAGGAGGTTTCCTTCGACTGGAGAGAACAGGGGTAAGCACAAGAAGCAGGCCCAGAGCAAGTCCCCACTCCTTGGGACTCTGACTCTGAGTTGCACCCAGGGAGGCTGCAGGGACGAGTTTGTTTATGGGGCTCGTTATTGCTAACACATATTTACAGCCAGGTTGTACTGGGCAGCTCTTGGCAGTCACACCCAGAGGAACCCCCAACCCCACTGGCCCTGCACGCCCCACACCTGGAAGATGCTGGCTCCGTAGGGCGTCCGCCAGGCATTCAGCAGGTTGTCCTTCCCCGTGCTCACAAACCACTTCCCTGTGGAGGGACAAAGGAGCCTTGTGTCACCAAACCAGGCCCAGCAACTGCATTCCAGCAGCACATCCTGCCCAGGCTGTGGAACACAGGGTGTGGACATGGCAGCCAAGTCTGCTACCCAGGAGCCAAGGGGCTGTTTTCAGGAACACACAGGGGAGTCCTGAGATAACAGAGCTGAGCGTGCAGCTGCCAGCGCTGCTCCAGGAAGGACAGATGCCCATTCTCTGACGGATATGACTGTCATCCACTGGGGACAAGGCTGAGTACTGGAACCAATCCTTGCCCCCAGTGCAACAAGCCCTGTGACACAAGGCCAGAAGTAGAGGTGGCATCCATGAGGCTCCAGAGAAGGAAGGCCAGGAGAGGCGTGCCTACCACAGGAGGCGAATTTGAGGGAGAGAACACAGCTCTCGTGGAGGTGCAACTGGTACTTGTCAGGTTTGGTGACGTGCAGGATCTCCACGTTGCTGCTCTCCATCCCCACTGCCAGCCACTCTCCTGTTGGGCAGTACCCCAGGGAGAAGATCTGAGGGGAGAGACAGGGTCAGACATTGACACAGCAGGTCCCACCTGACCCTGTGGTGCTCCCAGATGGCCCCAGCCCCACCTGGGAGCTGAAGTCGTGCTGCTGCAGCTGCCGCCCCTCCCGCAGGTCCCAGCAGCGCACAGTGTTGTCCAGCCCCCCTGTCCACAGCTTGGTGCCATCATTGGAGATGTCGATGCAGCTGGCACCATCCGTGTGGCCTTGAAACTGCCTGGGAAAGAGGGGGATGGAGAAGGCAAGAGCATGGCTGTCAGGCTGGCCAGTGCCTGCAGCACAGAATGTGGCCAGGGCAGCACTCAGCAGTGAGAGCAGGAGATCCCTGCTGCAAGGACAGGCACTGTCCCATTGCCAAGGTTAGACACAGGGAGAGGTGGGGACATGCTGCAGGGGACCAGGTGGTCCCTGGCCTGAGGAGCCCCCAGCAGCTCTGCCCATGCTTCCCCCAACTGACTCACCTGACCAGGGTCTGGTTCTGCAGGTCCCACACCACAATGTTGCCATCGCTGCAGCAAGAGAAGCAGACTTTGGCATCAGGGCTGATGGCCAGGGCGTAGCAGGCGGGGGCAGAGGAGGTGAGCTCAGCCTTGATGCGGGGTGTGGGGGCTGCCAGGTCCCAGATGGAGAGGGTGCTGGCCTCCCCCCCCACAATCAGGCTCCGGCCGTCCGGCAGCAGTTTGCAGGAGCGGATGTAGTTGTCGCGGTTCTGAATTGGGGTTACAGGGAACGGGGCAAGTGAAGAAGGAGCTGATGAGTGCTTGGGCGGTGTAGGAGACAGATCTCCTTTTCTCATCCCAGATGCGAAAGGACCCTCTGTCCCTTCCACTGCGACAGGGGCACATTCCCCTTCCCAGCCCCCTGCCAAAGGCCTTTCTCCTCCTCCTCCTTACCAGGCAGTCCAGCTGAGCCACGGCTGTCTTGGTGCCCGGCTGCCCCACGTCCCACACCTTCACGCAGCCCTTGCCCCCCGTGTAGACGTGTCGTGTGGAGTTGCTGATGGTGACGGCGCAGACCACCTCGCCGTGGGTCAGGGTGTGGAGCTGCCGTGCGTGGCGGGGGATGCCGGAGCCGATCAGTGCGTCAGGTGGAAAAGGCACCGGCTGCATCTGCCCGTCGGCACTGACGTGGAAGGAGTAGGCACTGGAACGGAGCAGAGCAGTGAGAGCCAGAGGAGAATCCTGCAAGGTCAGTGGCCGGTGCCACGTGGGTCCCAGTGGGTCTGACAAAGGGAGCACGTTTTGGGAGTTGGAGCCATGAGCAGAGCATGCCCAGTGATGCCAGTTGTGCTCCCCACCACTGCTGGTCCTGGCTTGTCTGCATCACCCAGGTTCAGCCCCACAGGTTACCACATCCCCTGCCCCAGCCCAGCCCGCAGCCCAGCCCAGCCCTACTTACGGCTTCCCCGAGGTCCCCACTTGTATGCCGGCCACCAGCCCAGGGATGCGCATGTGGGGGTGTGGGTCGTAGCCCACCTGGAGGGGAGAGCAGGTGAGAGTAGCTCACACTCCGTGGCCCCCACGGCCCCGCGGGGAGCAGGTCACGCACCAGGGGGGAGCGTCCGTAGCTGCTGGCTCCCATGGCGGCTGCAGCCCCGTTGAGCTGCGGGGACATGAGGTGGAGGCTGGCATAGGCGCCAGTCCCGGCCACGTCCCCATTGACTGCAGGGTGGGCCAAGCCAAAGGCAGCCGAGTAGGGACTCTGCACTCCCAGTGGATTCCTCAGGCCCAGGGCTGATGGGGGAGAGGCAGTGTGAAGGGACAGGGCTTGGGAGCCAGTGCTTGGAGACACCCGCCCGGGCCCCAGTGGGGCCAAGCTCACCCAAGGGGTCTATGGGGGCCTTGGCAGCAGCAGGGCGAAACTGCTGGGCCCCGCCAGAGCCTGGGGCCGTGGTGTCACCCTGGGAAGTGGGGGTGCTGGACTTCAGGCTGGGCGTCCCTGCCTTCTCCACCTGCCGGGAACAGCACAGAGATCTGACAGCTGCACCACTACCCTGCCAGGGGGTCTCCTCGGGTGCTCTCCAGCAAGCTGGTCCCTGTTCCTCCCCCTCAATGACAGCCCAGCCCAGCCAGCACTGCAGGCTCTGTGGGATAGGATGTGAACTGGGATCTAACAGAGCAGAAGCCCCGTCCTGTCCCTCCAGCACTGCCTTTGCTCCATGGGTTTGGAGACAGGTAGACCCATGTCTGGCCACTCTGTCAGCTGAACCTGGGCAGCAGGGACACAAGCATAGGCCCTGAGTGAAGTGCCCCAGCTGCCCCAGGCAGTGCACGTACTGTGGGTGCATCCTTGCTCCGAGATGGGGAGCTGCTGGAGGAGGCCATGGAGGTTGGGCTGAGTGGCATGGTCTCCTTCCTCCCCAGTGGGACCTTCTCCACCCCGTTCTCCCGGGATGAGTAAGAGTGGACGCTGTGCGGCGAAGAGGGGTCCTGGGGGTGGGAGAGGGAAACCAGCAGGCAGCAGAACAGGCAGGAGTGCAGGGATGTCCCAGGTCATGGTGAGTTGGTGGCTTGAGCAAGGGCCAGGCTGGGAGCCTGAATCTTGGGGCTCATTGCTGCCGTTGGTGAGGGCCAGGGAGCATGACTCAGGGGTACCACTGGCACCTCCCTGTGATGCCCACCTCTGCCTCTAGCAGCCTGTTAGCCCCCAACCTGGGGACAGACAGCACACACTGACTCCAGCCCCCTCCCAGCTGATGTACTGACCTCATCCACCACCAAGTTGTCCTCACTTTTGTCTGCGTCGCTGCCCTGAAACACAGAGGACGCTTGAAGACAAAGGGGCTGCAGCCACCCTCGCTCCTGCCTGGGGAGGCACAGGCAGCTCCATTCTTTGCCCCACAAGAAGGGATGGGGCCACCCTGCCCCCCACAGCCCCAGGCTCACATAGTCTGTAACGAAGTCCTTCTCCTCCACCTTCCTCTTCTTGCTGCTGCTCAGGTACTCAGCGATGGCTCGCGCCCGCTCCCCATTTGGCAGTGCCAGGGAGCTCTGGGGCAGGGGGATGCAGTGTTAGCGGCCAGGGATGCTGTGCCCAGCTCCTGGGACAGGCAGCACCAACACGGGGCTGCGGCTGACTCCTGGAGCACGGAGGGCCCCAGCGCAGCCCCCATGCCCTGACTGGAGCCTGTGCCGCCACAGAATGTTGCAAGAGAAGGAAAAAGCACTTACGGGGCCGGAGTCTCGGTCTGTCGCTGTGGCAATGCAGAGGCGCAGCAGGAGGAGGAGGGAAGGGGGGACATGCTGTGCCACCACCAAGAGCCCCCCAGGAAAGTCACCCGCTTCTCCCATGGGTGCTGGGGTGCTCACAGCAGGGCTGGGCCAGCATGACAGCAGCAGGGTGGTCCTGGGCCCCCACCAGGGATGACCCCCCACCAGCCCAACCCACCACCCTTCCAGGAGGTGCCGCTCAGTGGGGGATGTTCCCCACGCAAACCCCTCATGGCTGCCAAGCCCCCTGCCCCTCTCACCCAGTCAGCACACCTGAGGCATGGACAAGCGGCCCCCCATCCATCCCTGGCCCCCACCCTGGGGAAGTGCCTAAGCAGGAAGATCCTGGGGAGCAGAA